TGTGTGTACAATCGTAATCATCAACTTCAACGACGATTCCGATTCCCGCCCGCCTCGACGTAAGCGGACCTTTTTTTGGTGCTTGAAACGAACCGGATTCCGGAGCTAAGAGGCTGCTCCGCTGCGGTGTGAACAGGAAAACCCGGTGCTTTTCAAGCTCCAGCTCCGAACCGGCCCTGAAACACCGTTGGTGTGAATGAGATATAAGACAAATGAACAGACCAACTCACAACCCAAATCAACCCCATTATTCTTATGAGTTACAGAGTCACACAAACTCTGAGTGTGGACATTTTGTGACTGACCACCTTGTTTATGCCCCTGAAAATGGCTAAAAATAGAAGTGACACCACACAATCAGGATTCGGTCATGCACACATCCCACTGGGGCAAGCTAGCTGCGAGGCGGCTTTGAGATTTGGTCTAATCAACAGCCAGCCATGACACAGATATAGAGAAGCAGGAAAGAAGGTATCACAATGAGCACAATAAGGAGAATCGGACAATATTAGACTCACATGTCACTGGCAATGGAGGAGTTTCGGGACATAGACTTGGGCGAGAGGTCGTAGTCACTGTCAGAGCGGTAGAGGAACGACTCTCTCCGTTGGCTGTGGACAAAATTGGCCTGCAGGATGAGGCCTGAGCCCGGGCTGGCCATGGGGTCCAGGGGGCTGCGACCTGATGATGTGCCATTGTCCACATCGAAGCTACATATGTAGGAAAAAGAGAGGGAGAAAGACACAAAGATTAGAATAAGATTTGGTAAAGCTGATACTTATTGGTTACGTCATACAGGAAAAAGAAAAAAAGTCTTACAGAATTAAAACTTTGACGAAATTCGAAAGGCAAAGCAATTTATTTTCCAAGCCAAGATTCCTGGTGCTGAATCTCTGTTGCTCTTTCAACAGTCAAACAATGAATGAAGTGACAAATCTGACCTCTACATGCAATTATGCTATTTCTCCGGTCTTTTTACAAACAACTTCTTATAAGAGAGTACAAAGGCATTACTGAGTATATTAACTTCTAATAAGGTCTATAATAGGTTGTACTTATAGCTGTGTGATGTGGCTCGTCCTTTCACATCTGAATATATATGATACAAACATTAATTACTTATAGAGGTCTGGATGACTTTAGAGCAAACTCGTATATCAGCAAAACCGACATGACAATGTTTTCCATTGCAGCAGTAAAGGCTTTGACATGCACCTCCATATGCTGCTGTTAATTGGCTCTATGATCACAAGCTGTGACATTCAAATCATAAAATAACATGACTACTATGTAGGCATGACGGCACTAAGCTACTCAAGCACTGCTGGATGACGTCAATTTGCTTTACCATTTGAAATTATAATCAATCAGTCACTCATTATCTGGAAGATTATTGGGTGATTATAATTGGCGGAAAAATAATTGGCAGCATCACAAACTAATGCAGCAATATTCAAAGCCCGTTAATACGAGTACAATTGATATGCTTAGTTTAAACTGTGCACTGCACCACAGGGAATACCTCTGCTCTGAAATGATGCTGACTCACTGCTGAAAGGAGTTTCTAAACCTGTGACACTTTTTCCCACTGGGACGTCACGATGAGTTCGTAAATCTCCTCAGTGATTGTTCGCCCAGGTCATGACTAACGCCAGTCACCAGGGAGATCTGCCTCATCTCTAAAGCTTTCAGGCAATCCCATAATCCCATCTGGTGTGAATGTTAAGGTCAGGGGGGATTCCCCCAAGTGCAAAACATACGTGTTGGGATAACGGCCCACCTTGCCATCATCACCATCATCCTCAGCACGGAAAACAACCAAAAGCTTAATCCAATATCATTTACAACATTGCCAAGTCAGGACACCCGGTTAATGTTGGTAGTTGTGCATATGGAAGAGCAGAGGATGTTCTTAGAACAGAGCGAGCAATGTGAGGGGATATTTACGTGTTTTTGCACATGGTAAAAAAGCATTATTAAACAGCTAACTAACACACTCCTTGTTGTCAACAATGATTCATGACTAACATTTATATCAGTAATCCTCTTGAGCTTGTATGTTTTCTGCAGGGTATTTCCTCAATAGATGATTCACTGACCAACAGATGCAAGTTATTATCACTTGAAATCATGATTAGCCAACTTGGTTCGTAGGCTGTGAGAATATGGGGGATTGTAGGGCCTACTCATGGTTTTCGAGTGTTTTGGGAGAGTGATTTTAAGAGGAAGAAGTCATTATGCTTTTCACAAATATTGTTTTACTGGAGGTCTCTAAACGACAAACAGGACATTCCAGGCGTACTTTCCATGACAATTGAAAAGGCTAAACACTTGCTATCTGTTCTGTGATCTCTCCGAGGGGCAGCAGCTAAGTGAGTGTGAAGTCTGTGAGCTATAGTTGTGAGATAGTTTGGCCTTCTGCTCTTGTTTTTAACACACACACACACACACACACACACACACACACACACACACACACACACAGTTTGTTTTATCTTACGCGTAATCTCTGTTCCGAGTGTTAGATCAGAAGCATGCACATTCACGCACGCACATTCACGCACGCTCACGCACGCACATTCACGCACGCTCACGCACGCTCACGCACGCACGCACGCACGCACGCACGCACGCACGCACGCACGCACGCACGCACGCACACACACACACACACACACACACACACACACACACACACACACACACACACACACACACACACACACACACACACACACACTCCCAAATCCGCAATCCAATATCCAATCCACACCCTCTCATCACATCAAGGGATCCATCTGTTTTCTCCACTGCAGGTGTGAAGCCACAGGAACAAAAGTGATGTATAAACTTTCATTCCAGACACAGGGCAGTTGTTCTGTGTTAAAAGTGGGTATGGCTGTGTGTATAAAGTTTACGTATGAGACAAAGATAAAGATCACAGATAGAGAGATGGTGAGAGTGCCAAAACACAAGACCCAGCAGCATATGTTTCACAACTGATTCATGTTCACACTTAGTATGACGTCACAGCCTACGATGATTCTCCAGTGTGTGTGTGTGTGTGTGTGTGTGTGTGTGTGTGTGTGTGTGTGTGTGTGTGTGTGTGTGTGTGTGTGTGTGTGTGTGTGTGTGAGCCACAGTTTGACTCCAAAGACACACGTTTTTTATTTAATCTTTGTCACTATTTTAGTGAGGTATTTCACCAGTATTGACATCACAATGGGAATGTCTGGCCTTTTCCCTGCTCTGACATAGAGCAGCAGGCTTTGATGAACAAGCATGAGCTTGAAAGAAAGAAAGAAAGAAAGGACAACACCCCATTTGACTGGGTTGTGAGAATCATCAAAAAGCACGAGTACAACTCAGAGGGGATTATTGTGGAGATGGAAAGTACATTGGGCTCTTAGGAGGCAGACAAAAAGAAGCCATAGTTTACCCAAAAAGGGAGTTATACAAAACCCAGATATAAATAGCAAGGAAGGACATATTTGATGTGCAGACACTAAGGGGATATTGGAGAGCGTACAATCTATTTTTCAAACTTCATATTGTAGAATAACGAAATGAAAGATAGACTCGCTGCAAATCTGCACTCATATTAAGAATTTCAACGAGTGCTCAACATTACTATATTAGAAGCCTAGCCAAAAATGTTGACACTGTTTATTTGATACTGCTTTCAATCATGTTGCTGGTTGCTAGCTGATCATTAATAACATTATCTTGGAAAGGCTTGGGACTTTTGGAAAAGATACATTTCAATTCCAAATGATAACACAAGTAAGATTAGTATTACAGTAACCTGATGAGCTACAACAGTCTGCAGTCTACGTCAGTAGAGGGAGAAATGGCCTGTAGGGACAGTGTTCCCACAGGGGTAGAGTTTGATGCTGGAGTTAGGGTTACATGGAAAACACAAGGAGTGTTGCTCCTAGAAAACTTCAGCGGCACTATAACAGTGTGTTGCTATGTTAAAACACACAAATGGTGGCACTGAGATAGCTAGGTGCCTATTTTGACTTTATTCTGTAGTATTCTGCTGGGTCTCAGGACAAAGCAAATCACTTTTATCCCCTGTGTCTCACTAACATTTCTGTCTTGATCTTCTCTGTCCTTCTGGGTCTGTCTTTTAATCTGTCTTTTCACATGCACACAAGCACACACACACACACACACACACACACACACACACACACACACACACACACACACACACACACATCAAATGGCATAGATCAATGACTCATTCATTTTCAGCCCTGGGTCACTGGAGCAATTATAAACCCCCCAGGAGTTGATGTGATAGCTCTGTGAGGAGACGCACGGGAGGAAGAGGTCAGGGCATAACTGTAATTGGCAGAAGATAGTGAGGCTCTGTTCTCCAAAGATCTTTCAGAGTTGGTGGAACAGAAAAATACCCAACTCTACAAGAGTTCAAGACTGTACGTTTTAACGTAATATTTCTGTCTCTTTACAAAGTGCAAAAAAGCATAAAATAAATACACAGTTTAAGACTTTTTGGTTTTATTACTGACAAAAACATTGTTATGGATTAGCAATGTGGGACTGTATTTATGTGAGTCATGTACTGTTGAAAGTTGGAGGAGGCATGTCACCTCTGCATCTTTTAAGTACGGGCCAAATTGTGTCTGTAAAATCAAATATCAAATGACTTTAAGTACAGATATGTTTTGTTTTCCTTACCCTGCACATACAATTGTGAACTTAATGTTGCAGGACATATAGCAAAGCAGCTTATTCATAAACACAGAGGCCCAAAAAATGACTCCATTGGGCTACATGTTAGGATTCATAAACCTCTAAGCACTGTCCTTGTTATCTTTGGAAGGGAACCCAACAAGGAAGTGGTCCAAACAAACTTTACAGATAGAAAATAAGACACAGAAAGCATATTGAGCAGAGGGCAGCCAGGCCAAGCAGATCCGTGACTGACTACTCTGGAGACCACCGAGACACATTTTCTATATCTCGCCCGTACTTATACACACTCCTTCTTAGTAATTGTTTTTTGGAAAATAAATCCATAATGGCTGGATCATGGTGGCTGGGTCATGGTGGCTGGCTCTAATAAACTTTCAGGATTTTACTCATAATCCTGAAAGCAGTTCTGAGAAAAAGGTGGGTATTTTTCTTAAAGCTTTTGCTCTCTCTCTCTTTTCTTCCCTTTTCTTGCCCTGTAAAGTACACATAAAAAAATCATCTTTTATTTTTTAGTCGTGGTACAACTTTAGTGCTCGCTGTCATACAGGAAACTCATTCAATCATGAAAGACATACAAAGAGGTCACTATGGCAATGCAGCATCAACTCAGGTCACATGGTTCGGAGCAAAGCAAACCAGTCGTGCTTCTGTCTACATAAACGTCCACTCAACCATGAACCTATTCTCAGTCCTATTCATCATCTGAATCACTTAAGGTCACATTTGGAAAATATGTTGGATAACTGGCATGTTGTCAGCTCTGTGAGAGGAAAGATAACAGGTAACCTTCGACATTTATCCGCCAGGGATGCCCAACTGCAGACTCACAAAGGCCAGATGCAAGCACTTGAGTTGAAAGTCACAAGTTCCACACTTCACCATGCTCTATCTCAGCGCCCCTACCACACTGGGGTTTTAAAGTGGGAAAGAGGGGGTACAATAGGTGTGAAGCTAAGATGATTTCATAAACATCATTCCCTCATCC